TTCTTCCTCATAATGTTTGCCTACATTAGTTGCTAATTTTGTGATACATGGAAGAGAGTGTGTTGCCAGGACATATGACCGTCATGATCCTTGTTAGTAATAATGTAGGATAGACAAGATTACTTACTTTAGTGGCCACGAATATAAGAATTTACTTTAAGTGGTCAATTGTCCAAGTGGGAGAATGTTAGAAATTATAACTAATTTATTATGAGTGGACTTTTTGACCACATAAATTACTTATTATTTATATCCCATTAATTTAAATAGACTATTATCTGTTAGGAGTTTACCTCTTAAATTAACCACTATTACAGTTGGTAGATATAATAACTGATAGAGGAGCTTAAAAGAGAGACTTATCGTAAGAGTAAGTTTCATGATGGGAAGGGAACTCTATTCTATATAAACTACTGCTACTCTCTGGTCTGTTTCTCCACTCATACGATCAATTGCAGTTTATCCATCACATACTCAATTATTATGAAAGTGAGTCAGGAGAGAGAAGATCAAAGGGATTTGATCAACCATTAGTTCCGGAAGATTATGGCATAACAAGGTATGTATTTATTGTTGGTGTTATTACTGATTTACAAATCATAACCAAAGGTCCTGCCCACTAAAGTTAACATGTCTCCTTTAATATTGTTTCATCAATTTATTAATTGAACTAGTATGTGTCCCGCGCTTTGCGTCGGTTGTCAATGTTGAAAATTTATCTTTCAAAAGAATTAATTATATAATGTAGTAACTAATATTTCTTAAAACCGTAATATTTTTTTGATTAATCAATTTTAGATCAAAATGAGAGGTATTGATATTATTTATGAGATGTATATTTGTAAGATCTAGTAAAAAATATTATAACAAAGATTTTCAAAAGTTGTATAATAAAAATTGTCACCACTAACTAATGTTATGTTTGGATTAAAGAAAATATATTTAAAAAATACGTAAATTATGTCTAGATGCCTATGACCTATTTATAGGCAAGGGGACTTCGGGGATTAGACACAATTAATCATCCTTGAAAATGTAAAATCGATAAACTTGAAGACTAAGTAGCACATAAATGGAACTTTAAGGACCAAAATGACAATAAGTTGAAAGTTAAACCTCGTAAAGGAAACGACTTCTGAAGTCGGGAGTTTCTCAGCAATTTTTGAAAATATTCATTTTCAAGCTCACAATCATGAATTTGTAATATTTGTAAAAAAATCTTATATAATAAATAATTTCTTAGCTGTTTGTATAAAATTTTAACTGATTAATGATCAACTAATTAGCAAATGACGTGTTAATTGAGGCTTGATGGTCTCAATAAGCGACACTTGTCGATTATCTTTCTGTCCTTTAACATATATATATATATATAATGATGCGTCACGCAATGCGCGACCAATGATAGAACGAGTACATTGATAATGAGCGTGTAGCATTTTTTTATTTATTATCGATAAGGGATTCATCAATATTGGTTATTATTGGTATTCATCAATCCCAAATCCTTCATTCGAGAAACTCTGCATGTATTCTTTTTCTTCAGTAAATTATTTAAAACTTGAAGCAAGTCAAATTAAAAGAAATTGCAAGTGGACAAAAAATTTAATACTTGTCAGTTAATTAAGTACATAAAAGGAGATCATTAGTTTTACTTACTTCGTATTAATTGGCGTATAATAGATATAAAAGAGAAATATCTTAGGGAAATTACACTTATATCAAGTTAAAAGTAATAATTACTTCCAAAAAAAAAAAAGAAGAAAAAAAAATCAAAACTGACCATTTAATCTTGTGGAATCCATCATGAATCTCTTCATTCTTGATGCAAATCCATTGGATTTGGATCAGCAAGTTCAAAAAATCTCCTTCACAGTCCCTCTCAAATCTTTCACCGCCCATCAACATGTCATGACTTTGACAATCTCGATTACATCATTGATTGAAATATTTTTTTTGTCTTCGTATGATGTCTTCAGAATCTTTTAATTAAAGGGCAATTTATTGGGTGCACCCGGGGGCACCAAACTCTTCCTCCTATTTTTTGCACTACTAGTCCTTATTGTACTTTTTTTATTTTTTCTAATAATCTTCCTATTATTTGTAAGTTTAGTCCCTGCCACTTTTTTCTCTCTCTTCTAAAAAAATATCTCTAATATTCAAATAATCATATCTCTCAATCTGTGATGAATTAGAAAACGTGTTACACATGAATATTATTGTATTCGTCGAGATCTATCCAACAAGATCCATGTCAAATATTTTTTCGAGTTTAAAAATGACTAAATTTCGATGGGCAGAATAAGATGGATATCTAGTTTAGAAAGATGAATAACCCAATTCATTTTAAATTGGTTATCCATTGTGTTTAGGTTGATTATCCAACCAATTTGAACTGGTTATCCAACTTGTTTGTACTGGATATCCACCCATTTGGTTTGTATGCCTATCAAACTTGTTTGTAATGGATATCCCACTTATTTGTACTGGATATCCATTTCGTTTGTACTTGATATCCAACTCGCTTGTACTGGATATCCATCCATTTGGTTTATATGCTTATCCAACTTGTTTTGTAGTTGTAATCCAACAGGTTTGTATGCATATCCAACTTGTTTGTGCTAGATATCCAACTCGCTTATACTGGATATCTAACTTGTTTGTACTGGATATCCATCCATTTGGTTTGTATGCCTATCCAACTTCTTTGTACTGGATATCCATCCATTTGGTTTATATGCCTATCTAACTTGTTTGTACGCACTGGATATTCATTTCTGCCCGTAAGATTTAAATGTATTTAAAGTTCAAAAGAAATATTCAACATTGATCTTATCGGATTGATCTCGTCGAGCACTATAAATTTCATATATAATTCGTGTTATAATTCTTTACGGATCAAAAGATATAAGGAACACAACAATATGAATGTAAAATAAGTTGGCTATCCATCTTCTTAAAATGGATATCCAATGTGTTCACATTGATTATTCAACTTCTTTGTGGTGGTTATCCAGTATTTTTTTCCTTGCTCTTTTATGAAAATGATTGTCAAACTTTTTTGTACTGATTATCCAACATGTTGAACTGATTATCTAATTATTTTCTATTGATTATCCAAATTTTTTGCAATGTTTATCCAATCACTTTTTCTTTCTTTCTTTTTTTTTTCTTTTTGAAGAGTGAATGTCAAAAATATGATTGGATAACAAGTACTAACAGAACGGATAATCAGTCCAAACCGGTTGGATAATGAGTAGGAACACAACAAATAACCATTTTTCAAAGAAAAACAAAAAACACATTTCTTCATTTCCGCCCGTAAAATTTAAATGCATTTAAAGTTCAAAAAAAATATTCAACATGGATCTTATCAGATAGATTTCGTCGAGCACTATAAATTTCATGTGTAATTCGTATTCTAATTCTTTACGGATCAAGAGATATATGCAAACAAGAATCTTAATCTAAACTAAACTGGTTATCCATCTTTCTAAACTAGATATCCATCTTATTCTGCCCATCGAAATTTAATTCTTTTTAAATTCAAAAAAAATATTCGACATGGATCTTGTTGGATAGATGTCGACGAGTACTATAATTTTCATATATAACACGTTCTCTAATTTTTTACGGATCATGAGATATGGTCGTTTAAAGATTAGAGATGTTTTTTAAAGGAGAGAGAAAAAAAATCAAAGGGACTAAACCTGTAAATTATAAGATGTCATTAGAAAAGTGGAAAAAAGTGTAGTAAGGACTAGTAGTGTAAAAATAGGAGGAGTATGATGCCCCGGGTATACTGGATAGAGACTCAATTAAGGCTTTCATGATGGAAGGTTACGAAAAATCTTCCAGCCTTTGTAAGTTTCTTTGGCGATCTTGCAAGCGAGAGCTCACCGAACCTCCAGTTACCCGAACCAAGGGAAAATTCTTAAAACCTACATGAATCAAACCATAATTAACGACAATTCTTGGTTGGGTGTGAGTTTATTCAACAAAAAAGTGGTATCCCTTCTATCACAAAATTATTGTTCAGTTTGAATTTTCAGTTTGTACAAATTGAATTGAAAATAAAAATCCAAACTAGAAAATAATTTAAGGACGGAGGGAGTACTATATATAATTATATGTAAGAAAAATACAAATGTCTAAGACAAAGTGAAAAACAAAGATGCTTTGCACGGGAGAAGAAAAATGGAGATGCCATAGCAAAGAATGGCAAACACACTTATCATGTAGCAAAAGAAAAAAAAAAAAAAAAAATCAATTACTGTGGATGGGTAGAGAGGCCAACATCTTCTTAGCTTTTTATAACAAAAATTTTATAAATGGTAAGTAGTGATTTAAAATTATAGCCAATTTGATTTGAGAGATTTTAGGGATTAGATGTGCCATTCATCATCAAATTAATTGGTCATATTAACTAATGAAATTGATTTATTATTTAAAATTACTTCAAAATTAGGGGAACTGATTCCGTAGATATTATTTAAAGCATAAACATATTTAATGGTCATACTGATAATAAATTATTTCAAATTTCAAAAGTTATTAAGAATGGAGATTTTGCTTTGACCGGCCATTACTATAAACTAAAGTGTGATAAAATTTATTTACATAAGTTTCCAAGGACTTGTAATATAATTGCATAAACTTTTTTTGTAAGATTTTCTATAAAAATACGTAAAATTTTCTTTGAAACCTCTCTCTGGTTTATCTCTTAGTATAATATTATAGATAGATAACTCCTAAATTAACAAATCTCAACAATCTAGCCTAACTCAACAAACCTATGTAGGAATGAAAGTGAGAGAACGATAACTAATTAGACACGCGAAAGTAAACAAATCTAAACACCAAAAATCAACACCGATCTAATTTGAACAATGACACATTTTCAATAGCTTGCTAATGTGTACTGCGTTTACTTGTCAAAATCATAGATACAATCTAACAAGAAAGTCTCAAACACTTGATTCGTAGCTACAAAACCTCAATTACCAAAATCCATTAACGACAAGTGACCTTATCATTACAAGCTTTTCGACAATGTTGCGTCCAGAAACATCATCTTTCTTCACTTCATCATGTAAATACTTGCAACCAGGCAAGGTGGCCTTAAAGCTCGGAACAAATGGATGAAAACATCTACAGCAATCCCCCCACTCTTGCATCGTTCCGATTTTCCTCCATTTCTTCTCCAAAACATCGAATTCGAAAACATCTTTCAAACTAATTCCACCGACAAATATCAACACCTTACCATCCCAGAAAATAGGCCTTCCTCTCTTGCAATTAGTCATCCCAAAGTTTTTCGGAATCGTATTCTTTTTTTTCCATGATCGCTTCCCATAATCGAGCCCATAAACCAAAATCTCTTCCTCTTTAGGGAACACATAAGCAAGACAACCTTCCGCGACACCAAACCATGTTTCTGAACCTAACCCATTATTAGTCCCGATATGTTGGGAATCCCTTGAGTAAGGAGACTGAACAGGAAAATCAGGCGCCATAATAATCCAACTTCGTTCATACTTTAAGTCAAACACCAATATATTTAGGTCTTTCAACAGCCAGTGCATATGATCGTTAAGGTAAACAGGTTCGGAAAAACCATCATAACCACCATAACTACCCCGAGGATTTAAGGATTGCCGACAGGGGGATTCCCGCCATCGATTGCTATCCGAGTTGAAAATCAGGAAACTTAACGTCCCGATTTCTCCGCTCTTTTCAACCGCTGCAACTATGTTAATGGAAGCAAAATCTTCAAGATCAACTAAACCTAGGCCCGCGACGGACAGAACTCCGCCTAGGTTTGGTGAGGGTATTATTCGATATGCACTGAGCATCGGGTTGAAAACAATGTAGTTAGAACAGCCTAACAAGTTAATCAAGAGTCGGCCTCTCGACGAACACCAAACGCGGGAAATCGAATTTGCCATGTTAATGTCGTACTTGTTCCCTGTCTGAAGCATTAGTGAGCACAAGAATTTATGGCTTGCATCCGAAGAAGAGTAGTGGAGGATGCTGATCTTATTCCGGGATCGGTTGAGATTTTCTTGTAAATTGATTATCTCGTTGAATTGCTTGCTTAATAATCGGTATTGGGCTGCTCTTTTTACTGGTAAACGGTATAGGACTTCCTGAATTACTCCTTCTGGTAAATCCATCAATGGAAAAACATCATCAGCCTTACCATCATGCTGATATTGTTTCGTACCATCTCCTACACGATTATTCATAATCCTTGTGTTTTCTCCCATTGAGATTGTCGATGACTTATTAACTTCGGTCTCTTTTTTTTGTCTCCGTATTAGTCATGTGTATGTATTTGCAGAAGAGTGTAATTAAACAAAATTCTATTTCAAATCTGATTCTGATACAAATTGGAAGTGAAATTAAACCTTATCATCAATACCGTAGTGTTATAGAAGTCGAATATCTCTCGACACTTGTGTTAGGTGACTTGTATTCGGTAAAAAGTTAGATTTACTACTACTATGGATACAGAATTATTCTTGACTAGCGAGTCAATACAAGACCATAAGTTACGCGTCAAACTAATATAGAACGCCCATAGCCAGACTTATTATCCTTATCATCATCGTCGTCGTCATCGTCATCATCATCATCATCTTACAATTTTCCTTGAATTTGGTGTATAAATTCAGCAATTCTAGCTTCAACTAGCATAATTTATTAGAAGAAAAAGAACAGTGTATCAAACATTTTGTACATCTATGAACGCGAAAATGACACAAATATACTCCCAAATTAGTAGTGTAAGCAGGACTATGGCTAGGTTTTCGGAAGTAGAAACAAATATGTTTCTCGCATTTGGCAAATGCGAAAAAATCAACTTCCACGTTCAGCAAATGCGAAAATGTAGTGGATTAATTACAATGCATTAAAGACGTTGGATTAAAACTGGATAATTATAATTAATTTAATCCTTCGCATTTAGGGTATGCGAAAACTAACTTTTCGCATATGGCATATGCGAACGTATTAAATCTGCATTTAAAAATTGTTTCCTAACTTTAAATTGGTATTAAAATGAAATGTTGTAAATTAAATATTTTGGTTGATAAAATGTTGTAATATTTCAACAAAAAAATACTATTTTAATTGAAAATTAAATTTTCTAAATTAAAAGTATTCATTTGATTTAAGTAAATTTATGTTAGTTCTAAATAGAATTGCAATCCTAAAACTTATATTTGGTGAACAGAAATCGTATAATGCATTTATAATAAAATTTGAATAAGAAGTAAATTAAAATTTCGGTGAAAAATTAGAATATAATCTTGCGTTCTGTAACCAAGTTTGCTTTTAAAAAAAATGACTTTTATTTGATTTCAATTTAAAAACTTACCATCATTAAAAATATAATGTCAAAAAATCAAGTTTATTAATTTTAGGATAATAATATTTTTTACATAATAAAACTTAGAATCAATTCATTTAAAGTAAGGAAAAAAACTAAATTTTTAGAATCTGACATAATCAGTCCTGCTAAACTTGATAAAACCACACTTCCTTCTAACAATGATCTTTTGGCGACATGGAAACTTGAATTTGGCACGATGAAAAAGATAGTATTGTATAAAAGTAAGTTAAAAAAATTGTACATAATATTGTCTTTTTGAGAAATTTTCTTCTTTAATGTTTGCCTTTTAAATTTTTTTTTTTTTATCTTAAAGATTAAATAAAACCGAAATAAATTGTTAATGAAAATAAATGAAAGGTATTGCTTAAAACTAATAACAAAAGTCATAAAATAGCATAAAATAAAAGTACAATTCAATCTAATAGTTCTACATCTTGCGCTTTTTCTCCTGAGAATCTGTCATGCAGCACTTTTTCTTCTTTTTTATGTTCCGCTGTCCCTTACCCAAAGCAATCGGTGTAAAAGGCATGGTACCATCACTGGGGCCCTGTCCTTGATCAGCGCCCTCATAATGATCATGAGAGGAATGCTTAGCATCATCAGCATCATCATCATGCTCCTGATCCCCAATATCCTCATGATCTTGATCATCTTCCTGATCATGATGGATATCGTCACCACCTAGATGCTGACTATGATGACCACCCTCGTAACTAGTCTGAAAGAAACCCCCAGCATTAGGATCTAGATTAATAAAATCTAAATCAAAATGCATTTGCTCAAAAGGAGGAGAGGGATGGTGGTGTGGCGATGCTGGACGGTAAGGAGACACATGGGGGGTAGAAGATTGCCCGCTGGTATTCTGGGTGGCCACAGGTTTTCTCATTCTCCCACTCCCTAACTGGAAGCCGCCTCGGTCAGTCCTGGGAGTTCTAGGTGGGATATACTCCTGGGTTGGGTCAGCTGGAACAAAATCTTGGCTTGGGTTCTCACTATCAGCCCAAACAGATGTCTTGCCGACATCATTACTCTTGTGTCAAATCGTGCAATGTAGGAAGGCATTGTGATTCCAAGAATCAACTGGATTACGTTGTAGCCCATCTAGAGTAATATGCCGCATGTTTTGCACTAAATTGGCCTGAAAATTATAAAAGGAAATAAATATATATGGTAAATTAAAAATATATAATAAATATATTTTATAAATGAACATATATATGGTAAATTAAAAATAGGAAATAACATTTTAGAAAGTTATATGTATAAAAATCATATTAATATGGGTGTGATTAAAGAAATAGTAGAACTGTAACTTACCATTATATGTAGTGACTCAGCAGATCCCTGAAAACCCTGGGGCTGACGATAGTCTGATGGATTTTTGACCAAAGTGACAGTGTGATTTTGATACCACACTAGATATTCCGGTGCTGCCTGGGGTTCAAGAGTCATATCCGTCTGAAGACCTGCAAGGGTGTTGTGTCGATTCTCCCACCTCTGTAAGACGTCATCTTGACATTTCTTACCACGCGTCTCCTTATGCAACTTTTTTATTTCTTTTTTCTCCATGATGAAAGTGTTGTCAGGCACCCGCTGCAAGAAGCCGAACTGGCGCAACACCCTGCCTGGGATGTGTGGCTCTCGGATACCAAAATAAAGCAGCCAAGTCTGGGACATCCATATGGCGGAGCCGGCAGAGCAAGATGGATCAATGTCTGCTAGAATAGTAGGAGAATACGGCATCCAAACAAACTGTAGAGGGACAGATAATACAAAAAATTTATGTGAATATATAAGAAAAAAAATAAATTGATTTATACGTTATGATGGTTCAAATAAAAAATACTTACATTATGTTCTTGCAAAACCGCAAGCTGGTCTCGATAGGCGGTTAGATTAAATCGTGTGATGTCTCCCACTTTTCCAGAACGGTTCCACCTACAAAAAAATATAGTTTTGATTGAAAAAACAGAAAAAAATTATTAAAAAATATAACTAATTAAGATAATTATTGAATAGTTGAAAATTAATTACCTCCTGCCCAAGGGACACCCCTGAAGATCTGGTACGGGTCCACGTAACTCCGGACGGAAAGTTAATATCCGCTCCCAAGCCCATAACTATTTTGCAATAAAATAATACGTGAAATTAAAAATACAAATACAATAATTAAAAAACGAAAAATAAAATACAATTATAAATATTAGGATTCTAACAAAAAATTACAAATAAGAAAAATAAAAATAAATCGAAAAAAATTAAAATAAAATGAATAAAAAACTAACAATCAAATACAAATACAAGGGCGGTTTGAAATTACCTGTAAGAGTAGTAAGCAGCCACAAATACCCTGTCCAGACAATGTGATCACTGAGGAAGTGCATAGATTTCGGTACAACCACGCCAGTGTAGCACTACCCCAACTAAACTCCCGAAATGTATTTGGGTCCTCCAAATACCCCACCAGGCCCAGGGGAAAACTGTTTCTGCTGCTATCAAGAAACAATAACCCTCCTAAAATCCATCCGACAAAACAACGTGTCCGCTGAAGGTACATATCCTCTGTAGCATCTCCGGGTAGCAGATTAGTCATAATGTGTCTCTTTATATCTGTGATGTTTACTACCTTATCCTTTGTGGCCTTAGGACGCTGTCGGAATCCAAACAGACTCTCTAAATAATCGGCCCACTCCACATCCTGCGGAGGTACTGTCCCCTGGACCACTGCATGGCCATCAACCCGCAGACCCAGAAGGACCTCGACATCCTGTAGAGTAATCGTCGCCTCTCCGATAGGCAAGTGAAATGAATGGGTCTCAGGCCGCCATCGCTCAACTAAGGCTGTAATGAGGGCCCAATCTAACTTAATGGAACCAATTCGAAAAAGAGGCCCTAGACCAAACTTTGCTATTTGGGCATGTATCTGTGGGGCAGCCTTGTCTAGTTCAGGCCATAGGTCAGTATCCACTCGGTATGCGGAAAGTTCTTTCAAATAAGCCGTATTACCCCTAAATGTATGGAATGACCTATGATCATCATGAAGGACCAATAAACTCTTATCTATAGGACCCTGCTGGAGGTCATATTGTCTAGACTGCGAAGACGATGATGATCCCGTCTCCATACCCTAAATAAAAATAATACAAACAAATACAAATACACTAAATAAATATAATACAAAATAATACAAACAAATACAAATACACTAGATAAATATAATACAAACAAATACAAATACCCTAAATAAATATAATACAAACTAAAACAAATACACTAAATAAATATAATACAAAACAATACAAACTAATACAAATACACTAAATAAATATAATACAAAATAATACAAACAAATACAAATACACTAGATAAATATAATACAAACAAATACAAATACCCTAAATAAATATAATACAAACTAATACAAATACCCTAAATAAATATAATACAAACTAAAACAAATACCCTAAATAAATATATACAAAACAATACAAACTAATACAAATACACTAAATAAATATAATACAAAATAATACAAACAAATACAAATACACTAGATAAATATAATACAAACAAATACAAATACCCTAAATAAATATAATACAAACTAATACAAATACCCTAAATAAATATAATATAAAATAATACAAACAAATACAAATACCCTAAATAAAAATAATACAAACTAATACAAATACACTAAATAAATATAATACAAAATAATACAAACAAATACAAATACACTAGATAAATATAATACAAACAAATACAAATACCCTAAATAAATATAATACAAACTAATACAAATACCCTAAATAAATATAATACAAACTAATACAAATACCCTAAATAAATATAATACTAACTAAAACAAATACACTAAATAAAAATAATACAAAATAATACAAAGACCCTAACTACATTAAATAAAAATAAAACACAAAAAAAAAATACAACGCCGGCCGACAACAACGCCGGCCGACAACAACAACAACAACAACAACAAAAACAACAACGCCGGCGACAACAACTCCGGGCGATCTAAATTCGCCGGCCGTAAATGCGAAGAAATCAATTGAATAAATAAACTAGAACAAAAACGAAATAACACAACATAAATCTGAAAATAAACAAAGCATTATGAAGTACAAAACACTTACCTACCTTTTGTGGAAGAGGCGACGCCGGGAACAATGGCTGAAAAACGGGGAGAACGCCGGGGAGTGAGGAGGCGCCGGCTTCAATGGTGAAAACCGGGGAAAAACCGACGGGGAGAGAAGTGTACTTCAGATTTAGATCTGAAGTTGTTCGCATTTCCTGTATGCGAACTTAACCCAGATGATGCCACGTGGTGCCCGGCCAGATTACAAACTTTCGCATTTTCCTTATGCGAATAATCGACTATACGGAGTCCAGGAGATGATGCCACGTGGTGCGACCTGGACAGCTTCATATTGTTCGCATTTCCTTTATGCGAAATATTCGTGGTCCCGGGAACAGTCTAGAAACTACAACATTTACTAATGTTCTTTGACAGTACACAAATACAAATATAGACTTGCATATTGTTCGAATTATTACACAAACCAATACCAAATACAAATTCAGAATTCTTAGACTCATTACACAAATACAAACTCAGAATTAATCAAACCATTACACAAACACTACCAGAACCACTATTTAAAGATTATTCAGATTATTACGCAAACACAAACTTTGAATTCCTACTCAGAATTCTGCAGATTGATCATCAGAATCATCAGTCTGCATATGGGGTACACCATGCATTCCATATCGATCGTAAGAATGATTCAAAGGAGTCTTGTCTGAAGATGGATGTGAGAATGCGCAGTTGAAGGTATCATGATCAAATCCTCCACATCGCGCGCAAACTTTCTCAACTACGCATGCACTGGCATTATGGCCTTCTTGATGACATCGACCACAAACTTGAACTCTCTTGTTACCAGATTTTTTCGTATAATCCATAAGTCCTTTCTTTCGATTCACACGCTTCCGACCTGGGCCAGCATGGTGTACGAGTAACGTATCATCAGGCCTCAGATGCCACGTCGCTTGTGGCCATGGTTGAAGGACTGGGTTGAATTCTCCAAAACCGAATAGCCCATTGTTCCCTACTATAAAATGAATCAAAAAGCGGTAATGGATCATGACGTAGATACAGCAACAGAAGCGCATGGGAGCAAGGAAACCTATATGTCTGCCACTTGTTACATGTGCACATCCTGGCGGCGTAGTTTACCTCATGGATATTTCCACCCTTCCATGGCCGATCAGGTGGTGAGTACGTGACCACTTGGTACTTCTGATTCCTCTTGCTAAATCTGGTAACCTCGTGACCCATCTGATGTATACGGTAATCCTCATACCGTTTCATGGGATTCGTCGCGAGGGGTGAATGGCATTTGTCAATTTCATCTATGTTTTCCTGAAACAACTTGTTAGTTTTATACAATGTGGCAAGAATCAAAGCAGTGATAGGGAGCATCCGGCAACCTTTTAAGACATTATTAAAACTCTCGGATATGTTCGAAGTCATTTCTCCCCAACAATATCTCCCGTCCCAATAACGGGTACACTTCTCAAGACCGATTTGTTGAAGATATATGGCTACATCTCTATTTTTACTTTCTAAATTCATCCATTCTTTTTCAAACTTCCCTTTTTGCAACATTGAACAAGCCCTTTGACAAGGTCTTTTGAGTTTCTGCCCAGGAAAATTGCCAGCTAAATTTGCTTTGATGTGCTGCACAATAACAGTGCACTCCCATCCTGGAAATTTATCAAGCATAACATCCATAGCAGCAAGAATACCGTATGGCGATCGGAGATAATGCATGTCTCCTTGTCAAGTAGAACAAGTGTTTTCGGTATTTAAGGAACCATTTCCAGCTGTGCAATGTCTCTTTATCCACGAGCAAACGCGATGGGAACAATTGTGTTATTCGAGCACTTCACACATGCCACGATCAATGTTGCTTTGTATGAACCTCGGAGGTGGGTGGCGTCGACGGTTATGACCGGCCAAGCAGCTCTAAATAAATGTATAGCTGGCCCAAATGCCCAAAAAATGTACCTGCACACCTTCTTCTTCCGATTCTTGGTATCTTTAGTGAACTTAAACTGCATACGGGTATCTGGGTTCGCTTTGAGCAATGCTTCCCGAAAACTGGGCAGTTGTTGAAAGTTGTTTTCCCATGTGCCATACAGACTCTCAAGTGCTTTTCTTCGACCATGCCATGCCTTTTTGTAATTGGGGGTGACCCTGTATCTCTTATTTACTTCGACTTGGATCTGTGCGACTGAATAACCTGGATCTTTTCGGACATTGGCTGCGATCAATCGAGCAATCATTGTGGACGTCAAGTTACGACCTTCGTTTCTTGTGGTTGCACCAAGACAGTTGTGGCTCTCGACCCATACCACCATTCTCCAAGTATTTGTGTCTTTTTGCAGGGTAGCTCGACATTTCCACAAGCAAGTAGTGCCGTGGAGAAGTTCTTCTAGGTACTTCGGCCCTTTCGTCTCGCATTCAGTGGCCCACGTATAGGGACGGCTATATTTTACCCGACATGCCCGACCCTGTCGCAATGTCCATTCCCCCACGGCTGTTTGTACCTCTTTCTTGTTAGCAAAATGTACACCATGTCTAACCGTCTGCCAATTACCGTCCCACATTGTGATCCCATCGAATCCTCAACCAGCCGGACTTGTCCATGTCA